CAACAGGTCCCAAGTAAGAAGAATGTATGCCAGTGGGTGAGGGGTGGGTGAAGGAGGGGAGGTAGTGGGTGGGAAGCCACCCTCATAACGGTCCAATTTTTGGGCTCTGAAAAAAAAACACAACCCTCTCAATTCTAGGAGGCTTCCAAAAAACGGATTTGGAGCCCCAACGAAAGCTGGGACACAAAACGGGACAAGATTTCCCCCGAATGCACATGTCTATCTGTTATATAAATTTACTTACACAGACCACTATTTATTTAGGTCTTACTTCCATTTTTCTATTCTGCATGACAAAAAGGACCACCGAGACAACAGACTGTTACACATCACACAGTTATAGGTGTATTTTTTTGTGTGTTTCAAGAGTGACTTGAGAAACTGCAAGTCGCTTCTGGTGTGAGAGAATTGGCCGTCTGCAAGGACGTTGCCCAGGAGATGCCTGGATGTTTTGATGTTTTACCATCCTTATGCGAGGCTTCTCTCATGTCCCTGCATGGGGAGTCGAAGCTGACAGAGGGAGCTCATCCACGTTCTCCCCGGATTCGAACCTGCAACCTGTCTGTCTTCGGTCCTGCCGGTTTAACCCACTGCGCCACTGGGGGCTTCTAAAGATGTATGATTCCAAATTACTTGTCGTGAGATGTTGCTATGGAGTTATAGTGGTATGCCATAACTGTGCAGTGGGAAAGGGCTTTAAGAAGCAGACCTCGGAAACTCATGAGAAACTGGGACTAATTTGTCACAGCTAATTTATATTCAATTGATTCTAGGTATTATTAACACTGGGCTTAACCCATAAATACCAGGTTAAAAGGATATTTCCACTTCACAATCAAAGTTAATCTGAAATACTTTGTTCCATTCGGTGTCCGAAGATTTGAAAGAGGGTAGGTTGTAAGGAAGTTTTTATGAATACGAATAGATTTTGACCATTGTAGCAATCAGGTAAGCAGGCTCTCTTTGGCTTAATCTTCCTGTTATCAAGCTCAGTGTTTATATAAGGGCACCCCAGGTGCACTCCTGCTCATGGGTTTTGCTGACTTTTGAAAGGAGTGTCAGCCACATGTGTTTTTCCTTATATTCAGTTTTGCTGATTTGTTTGCTCAGCCTATTTTTTAGCCTCCCTCTTTGATTGCTTTTCTGAACTTCATGTTTACATTAGATTTCTAAGCTACCATCAGCCTGGGAGAAATGGCATGGGGGTGTTTACATAAAAAGATACATGCTAGGAGCCATGTGCCCTTTCATGATAAAAGCTAATCACTGTAACAGCTTTGGAACAGAATTTCTGCAACAGCGTAACCAAGGACTGGAGGGAAGGAAATCAAATTTCCAATCTGGGGTGTAAACAGAAAAAAACAGGTATTGTTGATCTGCCAGGGAAGTGGTATTTGCAACCTAGCCAGGTGTGGTAGTTACATATAAGGGCACCCTTGGTAACTTCTAGGCTTTGTTTCTAGGATTTGGGGGGAATTCACCATGATTTATAGGAGAGGTAGGTACTGGGATGTATAATTCACCTGCAATCTAAGAGCACTCTGAACTCCACCAACGATGGACCTGGAATTAATATGGCACACAGAACCCCCATGACAAAAAATAAAAATAAATAATACTGGAGGTCTTTGGAGGGATTTATAGGAGTTGTAGTTCACTGACATCCAGAGCACACTATAAACCCAATCAACAATGGATCTGGACCAAAGTTGGCATGCATATCCATTATACCCAAATTTGAATATTGGTGGATTTCGAGGGGAAATGGCCTGAACATTTTGGAGTTGTAGGTACTGGGATATATAGTTCACCTGCAATCAATGAGCACTCTGAACTCCACCAAAGTTGGAATTGGACCACACTTGGCACACAGAGTCCCCATGACTAACAAAAAATACTAGAGGTCTTTGGGGGGAAATTCATCTTGATTTGAGGGAGTTATAGTTCACCTACATCCAAAGAGCACTGTGAACCCAAAAACCAATGAATCTGGAGCAAACTTGGCACACATACCTGATATGCCAAAAATTCATTACTGTGGTGAGTGGGGGTGGGGGGAACTGTCTTTCCTTTCTGGGAGTTGTAATTCACCCACAACCAGAGAAACTGTAACCTTCACTGATAATGGACCTGGACCAAACTTGGCACATAGAAGCCCCATGACTAACTCAACCTACTGGAGGGGTTTGAGGGGACTGATTCACCATAGTGAGAGTTATAGTTTACCCTGTAGCCAGAGAGCACATGGAACTCCACAGTGGTTCTCAACCTGTGGGTTCCCAGGTGTTTTGGCCTACAACTCCCAGAAATCCCAGCCAGTTTTCCAGCTGTTAGGATTGCTGAGAGTTGAAGGTCAAAACATCTGGAGCCCCACAGGTTGAGAACCACTGACCCAGAGCAAACTTGCCCAACATAACAAATTTTAAGTACTGATGGAGTTTTTTTGTGGTTAACCTGGCAATATGTGAGTTGTAGTTCACCCACAACCTTATGTATTTTGTACAATTTTTAAAAATGCCTTTTGAAATAACCCGGGCAACGCCAGGTACACAAGATAGTACTGAATAAAATGGTCAAATTAAGGTATGCTTTTGGGATTTTTATTTAAAGTAAGCTGTGAACAGTTGAAGGCCGATTGCACAGATTGTGCAGCTAGGAGATGCATAAAATTAAATGTGTGTGGAGAAAGTAGGTGTTTTCCTCTTCATAGTAAGAGAAATCAAAGTGATCTAATGAAATTAAATGGCAAGTGATATAGGACAGGATAAGATTCAGAAAGTACTTGCCCACAAAGCACAGAGTGCTTTTCCTAGTACAAAATGTAGTGGTGAATACCAATTAAGTAGTGGATAATTCATGGAGGATAAGGCTATTGCAGTGGTTGCTAGTCTGACGGCTATAAAGTAACTCTTGTGTAAAAAGTTGTAACAGTTAGACTAGGCTTCTGGGAGATGAGGGTTCAAATCCCTATTTAGTCATGGAAAACCACTGGGAAATCTTGGTCTAATTCACAGTCTCTCGGCTGCAGAGGAAAGCCATGTCAATCCCCCTCTGAACAAACCTTACCAAGAAAACCCCATGACCGAGAGTCATTCCAAGTTAGAAATTACTCGAATACACCCAGCAACAACTACAGTCCAAACAGTATGTCCATCCGTATCAGTTCCTGAAGACAGAAGCAAAAGGCTTTTCCCCACAGGCTTCAGAGTGAAAACAAATTGATGGACCAGAAAGGTCTCTGGACTGGTCTAGGAGAGCTTCTTCTAAGGTAGTGGTTCTCAACCTGTGGGTCCCCAGGTGTTTTGGCCTACAACATCCAGAGACTCCTAACAGCTGTTAGGATTTATGGGAGTTGAAAGCCAAAACATCTGGGGACCCACAGGTTGAGAACCACTGTTCTAAGGTTTTTACATCATTGACGGTAACTAGTTATTTTTCTGGTCAACTGTAGAACATAGAAATGGCATGCAACAATGAAGAACCAAAGGTTGAGAATCCCTGGACTACAGGAATTGGGCATAAAAGTGTTAAACTTCTTTTAGCCCCAAAATGACTAATGCAGGTAAAGATGAGCAACTAATTATTATTTGTGTCTTCATACTTCTTGAGGCTTTGTTATGAGGGTGTCGCAACCTGAATGAAGCGAGATATTTATGTTCGATGATGAAAATAAGTTGCCCCAGTAACTAAAATTATGACTCAACTACTCTATTTGTAATAGCCTGGGCAGGAGCCCAAGTTGAGAAAGCTAGCCTTATATAGAAGCAGTTCATAAAATAGCTGTTACCTAAAACAATGGAAAAAGAACTGTTCTACAATGAATGCTTCTATTCCCATCCCCACAAGCCGAGCACTCCGCCAAAACAAACGAGGAGTGAGCAGAATCAACTTGAAATATGCAAGGACAGAATTGCTAGTCAGTGTATCAATGGCATTTACCATTCAGTACAGTAGGAGCTAGTGCAGGTATGGGCAAATATTGGCCCTTCAGGTGTTTTGGACTTCAAGTTGAAGTCTGAAACACCTGGCAGGCCAAAGTTTGCTCATACCCTCGCTAGTGTGATGCAATGGTCTACGTATTAGGCTACAACTCTGGAGAGAGACCAGGGTTAAAGTCCCCACTTGGCCATGCAAACCCACCGGGTGACCTTGTATAAGTCACACTCTCTATGAAGGCAAAGGTAAACCTTCTCTGAACAAATTTTGGCAAGAAAACCCTGTGATAGGTTCGCAACAGCAACAACAACAGGAACACAACACATTTCTTTTTTTATTTTATTGAAAATAACCCAATATCCAGTTCACACACAGGCAGCTGGATGGAATGACACGCTCACAGCTCCCCTCTGAGTTAAGGAGAACACGCATAGCATGCACATTACCAGACCTGTTAACCATACAGTGACCAGCATTATACTGTCAACTCTCCACGTTTATGGATTTGACTTTTGCTGATTTGCTGATTAGATTAAAATGTTATCTCTAGAAATCTCTAGGTTTAACACTTTTATGCCCGATTTCTGTACTCCAGGAATTCTCAACCTTTGGTTCTTCATTGCTGCCAGCAATTTCTATTTTCTACAATTGAGCAAGAAAGTGATTAGTTACAGTCAATGATATAAAAACCTTAGAACAGTGGTTCTTAACCTGAGGGTCCCCAGATGTCTTGGCGCAGACGGTCGGTCAATGCGACTTAAGCAATGTGTAGTCATTGAATTCTTGACAGCAGAAGGTGTCACTCCAAAGGAGATTCATCAGAGAATGCAAGCTGTTTATGGTCCAATGGGTTTATGGGTGATACATATCTAAGGAATGTATAAGGTGTCATTTAAGGGATATTTACTTTTGGAATAATGTATACTGAAATAAGTCCTGTATGGCAAAAATTTGTTAATTGTTGGGATGTATCAAATAATTTTTTTTAAAAAAACTTGCCAGCAAATAACAGCAACAAATACAAAGCAAGAAATCTATATCTAAAAGAAGCAACAAATCCTTACCTGTTATAAATGTCATCATCTTCACCTCCCCAGCCCCAATAGTTATTGGGAAACCCATTGATTTTTTGGAATTGCTCCTTGCTTAAAGCAGATACTCCTCCAAAGTATTGGGTGTAAGGTAAGCTAGAAAACAAAATTGTAAGTCATAAATAAATTGACTTTTGTTATTACAGAGAAACTAAGATTGTTGTCCTCAACCTTCCTAATGCTGCGATCCCTTCATGTTGTAGTGACCATAAAATTATTTTTGTTGCTACTTCATAACTGTAATTTTGCTACTGTTATTAATTGTAATGTAAATATCTGATATATAATAATAATAACAACTATTTTTATACCTCGTCTCCATCTCCCCAAACGGACTTGGGGCGACTTACAAAGGGACATTCCCAACAAAACAGGTTAAAATAGGTATAGAAAAATAAGCAATATCAAACATCAGTAAATATAAAATCAGAAAACATTATAAAAACAATTAAAAGCGGTCATGTCTGAGCAAATAAAGTGCTGGGTTCGGTTCATAATTACCAAGTGCAATGAATAATTAGGAACTGCCGCATAAAATCTTTTAATAAAAATACACAAGACACAGATGTACTACTGAAAGTGGTAAAACTCTCCACCTTCTTATAAGAGATGGACTGAATTCAGAATTCACTGAACCCCTTTTCCATGGCAACTAGGAATGTAAAATACCACCATTATAGACCAATTAGTCACATAACCAAAAAGACCTGTTGCACTAAACAAAGACTAGTAGGTTCTCGTTTTCTCCTACAAGAGACACACAGGAAAAGTTATTACCTTTCATTTGAATTTTCTTAGCAATGAATCATCTCACACTTTTGCTTCAGGTCAGATAATGATCTCAAACTGAGACAGCAACACCTGATATGGTTCTGGATCTCAATAGTTGGCAGATCACTTGTTGAATGATGAGTCAACATGTAGATTCAGTGGTCACAATGATCCCGGGCAAGTTGACCCACGTTCTTTTTACTAAAATTTCTCTGTTTATACAAGAGTATATAGAGTATGTGCTTCCAAAGTAATATAGTAAAAATGTCGCTGTTTCAAGGCAAGACTAATAGAACAGATGTCCAGAACTACTCTGTTGTTGCTTGAACAAAATCTTCTACAAGCAGGCCAATTTCCTAATTCCTGGACTAAAGGCTATTTCAGCACCCATGTCACTCAAGGAGAAGGGAAGTTAATGCTCCTTGGAAGACATTTAATTGAAATACAATGGAAACCCACCAGGTTACCTGGTCCTGCCATCAACTGATCCAGGATAACGCCAGACACAGGGCTATGTGATGTTAGTAGCTCCAAATGAACTGCAACAACTACTTACCGAAAATTAAACTTATCCATTGAGACCGAGAGATGTCGGGGTTGGCTGTAACACTTGTAGATGTTTCTGTCATCCATTGGGATTAGGTCAACATCACTAAATACAAAGCAGTCATAGTCATAGTCTTTCAGAGCTTCTTTGAAGCCAATATTTAGAAGCTTTGCACGATTGAATGTCTCTTCTCCACCCTAATATAAGAAAAAGAAGAGCGGTGAAGCATCCTAAATATAGTCCGCTCAACATATTTTATTTAGAAGTCCGAAGTGACCAAGGACTGCAAAAGCAGCAAGAACAAATGCATACATTTCCCCACTTTTTTGTGTTCAGTATTAAGGAATGAAACTAAAGAAGCATGGGATTGTGGTCAACACATACTGCCTTGTTCTCTTTCTCAGAAGACACCCAAAGTCATAATCCCTTGAAATCCAAGATAAATATTTTGCTTTAAGGAAGCTAGTGTGGCTTAAGGCTAATGGAAATATAATGAACCATGGCAGTTCAAGTGCTGCCAAACTGCATTAGTTCTGCAGTGTATAAGCACCCTTACACTCCCATTAGCCTTAAGCAAGATTCCTGAAAGCAAAAGACTCTCCATGTGTACGTTTTCAGCCTGCCTCTCTTGGATTTCAAGGGGTGTCTTCTGAGAATGAGAAAAAGGCAGTATCTATTCATCACAACCACATGCTTCCTTAGTTTAAACCAGCTGACCTTAAAGTTGACCATATCTATTTTACCCAGAGAACACTTCCAGGAATTTCAGGGTCCTTCAATACAACTTTATAATCACCTTCTGTGGGATGTTGACCACAGATTCACATCTGAGGACCTACAAATGCAAATAGAAGTGTTTCCCATAGGAATCCCCATGTCTTCCAGCACAGCTCTATGGTGGAAGTTGAGCACAGAGGCATGCTGAAGGATCTAGTCCAGTGGTTCTCAACCTGTGGGTCCCCAGATGTTTTCACCTTCAACTCCCAGAAATTCTAACAGCTGGTAAACTAGCTGGGGTCTCTGGGAGTTGTAGGCCAAAACACCTGGGGACCCACAGGTTAATAACCACTGATCTAGACATTCCTACTACATATTAATCTCATTCTAAAAAAAAATTAAAACTGCAAATTTGGAGGTCTGACTAGATGTTGTTTTTTGGTCTTAAATCCCACAATTCAGATTTATGAGAAAATTACTTCTTTGGAGAACAAGTTCTGGAATTTTCCAGCCAGTGTAGGAAGTGGTCATGCTACCAGAGGGGTTATTATTTCCAAAAAGTATACTTTCCAAGTCCTACACCAGTCACACTTCAAGATAAGTTAGGCAAAATCAGTGGTTCCCAGCCTTTGGGCCTCCAGGTGTTTTGGACTTCAGCTCCCACATTTCCTAACAGCTGGTAAGGTGGCTGGGATTTCTGGAAGTCCAAAACACCTGGAAGCCCAAAGGTTGGGAACCAATGGGTTAAATAGTAAGGAATAACCCTCAAACTACCAGACAACCCCATGGAAAGGATTATAATGGCCATGTAATTCAACCCCTTTCCATGTAGGAATAGCAGACCATAATTATATCCATTGCAATATATTCGCACTCACATTTCTCTACCAGTGCAATGTTAACTAAATAATCTATATTCTTTGTTGTAATTATAAGAACTTGCCTAACCATTATAAAGTACACGGAGTAATTTATGGTCTTCTGAGCAACTTTTGACTTATTTAGTTGAATTCCTGGGAAAGTAATCCACTGGTTTGCTCTGGAATGACTCAGGCTCAGAAAAAACACAAGCTATTTTCAGTGCAGTTATCTAAGGCTCCTTACACACAGCTGAATAAAATCCCACATTTTCTGCTTTGAACTGGAATATACGGCAGTCTGGAGTTAGATAACCCAGTTCAAAGGAGATACTGTGGCTTGATATTCTGGGTTATATGGCTGTGTGGAAGGGTCCAAAGGAAGTACTGATTATGACAACACCAAACAAAAGGTTTATATTAATCAAACAACAAGCGGAGTCTTAGCTACAGCTTTGAAAAGTTCCTTTTTTAAAACAACATATCCCACAACTTTCTAGCCAACGTACTTCCCCACAAGTGGTGCCCTCCAAGTTCCCTTCAACTCCCGTTAGCCATGCAGACTGAAGATAATGGAGAGTTTAATACTGTTGGAGGGCACCAGATTGGGGGAAGCTGCTCTAGTGCATTCTTACCTCATAAACAACTGTTTCCTTTTCTAAGTGTAACACATGCATGTCTACTTGGACAGTACCCAAATAATTATGGCATAAAACCAATTTGTGTATTTCTTATGAAGTAGATAAGTCAATTCCTTGTTACATCCCGAACAGATTACTGCAACGCACCCTACATGGGGTTGACTTTGAAGACTGTTAGGAAATTCCAACTAGTCCAATGGACATCAGCCAGATTACTAACGCGGAGCAACATACAGGGAGCATACCACCCCCTGTTGTGTCAGCTCCACTGGCTGCCGGTCCATTTCTGAGCACAATTCAAAGTGCTGATCTTGACCTATAAGGTCCTATACGGTTCCAGCCCAGCTTACTTGTCCAAATGCATCTCCCTCTACATCCTGCCTCGGACTTTAAGATTGTCCGGGGAGGTCCTGCTCTTGGTCCCGCCTTTTTCACAAACGACTGGCAGGGACAAGAGATAGGGCCTTCTTGGTGGTTGACCACCGCTTCTGGAACACCCTCCTCCGCAAGATTAGGTCAGCTCCATCCCTCCTCTTCTTCAGGAAGAAGCTTAAATCATGGTTCTGGGGCCAGGCATTTGGGGAGCAGGCTTGATAGCAATTGCAATGTTTATGTGAACTGCCAATTGACAGGCTCCGATAAAAGTTTTGGGACGCTGAATTGGATTGGATTTGACTAAATGGTTGTTAATAAGGTTTTTAAAATAGATTTTAACTTAATAGTTTTATTTAATGTGTAATGTTGATATATTGTGTGTGTATTCTGTATGTGTTGGCATCGAAATGTTGCTGTTGTAAGCTGCCCTGAGTCCCCCTTTGGGAGTTGAGAAGGGTGGGGTACAAATGTTGGAAATAAATAAATAAAAAATAAATAAATTCTATTACATGAAATAAGGCAATGATAAAAAGGCAGGGTGTGTGTGTGTGTGTATATATATAAACACAATTTGTGTTATGATTCAAGTACAGTTACGATCTCAGTTCTAAAAATGCCATGCCATCATAAAATTCCTGGAGATTAGAGCTGCTTCTTTCTCATTTTAGTTCATTTCTGTCAAGCATGCAAGGCTATTTTAAGTGGGGAGAAAAGTCTCAATTCCCTTCTGTGTTGTTGGGAGCTGCAATGGAGTCATACTGCTTGATTTCCACCTGGGATTTTAAAAAATTCAGCTAGATCTAGACTCCAGCCTGGGATCAAAACTTTTTCACTGTTTTTTGAAGCAGCATAAGAAACAATACAATACAAGGCGCATGCACACACATAGTTGCAAAATCATCTCTGCATTTCAGTAAGAACAGCCAAAAATACCCAGGTCTTTACCCTCACAAGCAATACCCAAACCTGCACATGAAATGTGTGGTTCCCACTGGTTTCCTCCCAAATGACTACTATGTAGGTGAAGGTTTTCCCCTGGCATTAAGTCCAGTCGTGTCCAACTCTCCATTTCTATGCCGAAGAGCCGGTGTTGTCCATAGACACCTCCAAGGTCATGTAGCCGGCATGACTGCAAGGAGCGCCGTTACCTTCCCAGCGGAGCGGTACCTATTGATCTACTCACATTTGCCTGATTTTGAACTGATAGGTTGACAGAAGCTGGGGCTGACAGCGGAAGCTCGCGCTGCTCCCCGGATTTGAACCTGCGACCTTTCAGTCAACAAGTTTAGCAGCTCAGCGGTTTACACCCACTGCGCCACCAGGGGCTCTCAATGACTAGCATAGGGTGCATCTACACTACAGAACTAACACAGTTTGATACCCCTTTAACTGTCATGGCTCAATGCTTTGGAAACCTGGGAATTGTAGTTTTACAAGATCTTTAGCATTCTTTGCCATCTCACTGCAAATCCCAGAATTCCATTACATTGAGCCATGGAAGTTAAAGTAATATCAAATGCATTGATTCTGCAATATCAACACACATGTAGAACAATACACCATATTTAAAAATAGTAATTATGTCTAGGTATAGCTCAGTATGATTACATTTTAGGAAGATTTACATGAAGCAGGCAGCTTCAGCTTTGCAGCAGGGCAATAATAATCACAGGGGGGAAAGCAGGAAGGAAGTGAGAGCCAAGAGCCTTGAGCCAAGCGTTAAGACAGCAAAGCTGTCAGATCCACCCTCTCTCTTTTCACAACCACATTTATGAAGAAACCATGCGGCTAGAGATTGTAAATTTCCCCTTTCCGTCATCTTTCACACCTTGAATACAATGCCTTAAAACTCTGAAGCACTTTCATCTATTTAAGCACAATGGAGGCTGGCTCTATACTGCTGAATTCATGGAGTTTGACACCACTTTAACTTCCATGGCTCAATACTAGAGAATACTACGCAAGATTTGCAATTCGGTGAGACATCACCCCTCTTTAGCAGAAAAAGTTAAGTTCTGGTAACACTACAACTATCATGATTCCATAGCATTATATTATGACAGTTAAAAGTGATATACTTAAATACACAGCAAACTTCAGCCCTCCAGGTGTTTTGGATTTCAACTTCCACAATTCCTAACAGCCTACTGGCTGTTAGAAGTAAATAAATGAAACACATACCAGTCCCACTGATATGACGGTCAAACTTTACAGTACAGAAGGACCTCCATTTCAAATTATCGGTATGTTTGTGATTTGGTTTGAATATAGACTCAAAATCTACTTCATTTCATGCTAGCAGTGTTTTACATGTCGGTGTCTAACTAAGTAATTCATAAGACAGGGCAGATTGACAATTGCATTCCTTTCAATAATGGACACAATCCACTTCATTTCACGTTCTTAAATACACAGCGAAAACAACCTAAGTTTGATCAGACACTATTGCATTAACTACCATCCCCTCTCAATTTTTAGAGATAACAAAATATACTCTTTTCTGGGTTGCTGTGAGTTTGCCAGGCTGTATGGCCATGTTCCAGAAGCATTCTCTCCTGACATTTCACCCACATCTATGGAAGGAATCTCAGAGATTGTGAGGTCTGTTGGAAACTAGGCAAGTGGGGTTTTATATATGTGGTAGAATTATAGAGTTGGAAGAGATCTTGTGGGCCATCCAGTCCAACCCCCTGCCAAGAAGCAGGAAAATCGCACCCCTGAGAGATGGCTATCCAGCCTCTGTTTAAAAGCCCCCAAAAGAAGGAGCTTCCACCACATTCCAGGGCAGAGAGTTCCACTGCTAAACATCTCTCACAATTAGGAAGTTCTTCCTCGTGTTCAGATGGAATATCTTTTCCTTTAGTTTAAAGTCATTGTTTGGCAGCATCTTAGTCTCCAAGGAAGCAGAAAACAAGCTTGCTCCTTCCTCTCTCTGACTTCCCCTCACATAGTAATACATTGCCCTCATCATGTCTCCTCTCAACCTTCTCCTCTGCAGGCAAAACATGCCTAGCTATTTAAGCCACTCCTCATGGGGCTTGTTCTCCAGATCCTTGAATCATTTTAGTCACCTTCCTCTGGACACATTCCAGCTTGTCGACATCTCCCTTCAGTTGTGGTGCCCAGAAATGGACACAGTGTGATTCCAGATGTGGTCTGACCAAGGCAGAATAGTGGGGTAGCATGACTTCCCAGGATCAAGACACTAGACTTCTATTTATGCAGGTCAAAATCCCATTGGCTTGTTGATGAAGACTCCCAGATCTTTTTCACACATACTGCTATCATGAGAATGCTTCTGGAACATGGCCATAAAGCCCGGGAAACTCACAGCAACCCAGTGATTCCAGTCATGAAAGCCTTCAACAACAAATACTCTTCTGTTTCCTCCTCCACATTGGGAAAAGCCCTGGAAATTTCTGCCCATAGATATCTTGCAATGTCAGTTCATTCCTGACATTGGCTGATGGTTTGAGGTTACAATATTTTTATTGTACTTGTTCACTTTTTAAAAGATTGTTAACTACTTTCAGAAATGTTCTGGGCCAAAAGAGCAAAAGGAACATTTTCGAAAGAGTGCTTATGTTTCAGTTTAGCTTTTTCAATAGGTAGGATGATGGGTGATTGTTAGTTCATGTCAATGGGAATTGATTGTGTGGCGGGATATTGTAGGTGTTTTGTTTTGTTATTTGTATTTTAAAAATAAATAAAAAGGTACACATAAAATTTATTGGGTTGCTGTGAGTTTTCTGGGCTGTATGGCCATGCTCCAGAAGCATTCTTTCCTGACATTTTTCCCACATCTATGGGAGAAGGAAACTCTTCTGAGGGTAGTGCTTTGCAATTCCTATCAATTTCAGGACCATAGTTTAATAAGGTTGGGCTTTTGTGTGTTTTGATTGATTGATAGAGGCAACTTAAAGAGCAAGGCTTTGAAAAATATTGTGCGGTCCCATCTTGAGCGCACACAAGGCGGCTTCCCTGTGAAATTCCTTAATGTGGCGCCTTCTGACTTATAACTAGGCAATTCAGAAAGCCAGCTAGACATCTGCCACAAGCAGCAGCTGTAGGTTCCTGTCCTGTCTGGGCAGAGAAAGGCTGTTGCTTCACTCAGTCAGCCGATCCCACACAGAGCTCTCTTTTCCACAGTTACATGTCAAACAGCTGGTGTTCATTCATTCTCTGGCACAGATATTATCCAAGAAGAATAAAAGGCCTAATAAGACTGGTGTTGCAAGCTAAGCAGGCTCAAAGCGGACTTGGACGCTGTTACTTCCAAGATAGAAGTGTCCTGCCCTGCCTTGTTTTGCAGACGAGAGAGTTCATGTGGCTGTTAATTTAAATCTCTCAAACGTGAACAGATGAAGAAGTATGTTAACAGCAGATGCACATGTCTTATGTTAATGAGACCACAGAGAATAGATGCCTTGTTATTTCCATAAACATAGGTTTCACTCCAAGCTAAAAGGAGCTGGAAGTTCTCTGGGGTTTATCTAATACTGCCCAAGTTTGTGGAGGCACACCAGTGGGGATGGCAACACATATCTGCAAAATCTGCTCTAAAACACACATAGCCGATGAACATTTATGAGAAGATTCAAGGCATGTTCTCTCTCCATGCCAAGTGGAAGCCTATGAACATCTCCCCAAATGTTCTTCAATGCAGAGGAGCTTTCTAAGGCTGAATCTACATTGTCACTTAATCCAATTTCTGAATCCAGATTATTTGCTTTGAACTAGATTATATGAATCAACACTGTCGTATTTGGTGTTTATCCGTTTAGTCACTTCTGACTCTTCGTGACCTCATGGACCAGCCCACGCCAGAGCTCCCTGTCTGCCGTCCCCACCCCCAGCTCCTTCAGAGTCAAGCCAGTCGCTTCAAGGATACCATCCATCCACCTTGCCTTGGTCGGCCCCTCTTCCTTTTTCCTTCCATTTTCCCCAGCATCATTGCCTTCTTTAAACTTTCCTGTCTTCTACCATTGCCATATAATCCAGTTCAAATCACATAATCTGGGTTCAGAAACTGGAATATTCGGCACTGCAGATGGGGCCTGACAGACAGGTAATATAAAAGGGTTCCCACCTCAAGGTAGAATCTCCCACTGCAACAAGAAAAACACTGATTTAGACATAAGAGACCACAAGCAAATTGTCATGCTAGAGAGGAACTTCATACCATACCAGATGCCCATAGGATAAACATCACCACCTAGTACATGGTGTTGAAAAGCAGAAAGAACAGCTGTCCCTCCACATTTGCAGTTCAGACTTTTGCAGATTTGATTATTCATGAATTTGAGTGAAATGTCCTCTCTAGGAATCCCTAGATAATCCAGGGTGATGCTATAGTCAACTTCCTACAGTCATGCTGGAAGACCTAGAGATTTCAAGAGAGAACAGTACTATAGGAATTTTTAGGCCCCACAATGTGATTCTATTAGGGTTAAATGAAAAGTAATGCCTCCACCTTCGTAACTCCTCAACAGGTGGCAGTACTGGTATGCGGCAGGTACTGGCTTGTTCAGTAGACTCTCCTCTACAGTTCAATTTTGGCAAGAAGCCTTAGCATTGAATGGTTGTGTTGCTAAAGTGCGAAGTATGGAACCCTGCACAGACAGTCAGTCAGTGCGACTTAAGCAACGTGTAGTCATTGAATTCTTGACAGCAGACGGTGTCACCTCAAAGGAGATCCATCAGAGAATGCAAGCTGTTTATGGTGATTGTGTTGATGTGAGTACTGTGCGTCATTGGGTGAGTAAGTTTAAAGATGTTGAGAGGTGGGAACATCTGACTTGTGTGATAAAGAATTGGATGTCCTGTGGCATCAACCACCGAGTTTCACAAGCAAAAGGTTGACAGATTGATTCAGGACAATCGTCATATCACTCAGAGAGAAATTTAAAGCATAATTGGTATTTCACAAGAACGTGTGGGTCACCTAATTGCTTTGCTTGGCTATCGGAAGATCTGTGTATGACGGAGAAGTTGAGAGAACTGTGAGACGCTGGTTGCCGAAACAGAGTGCAACTTGTTCCATGATGGCTTCAGAAAACTTGTTCATCGTTGGCAGAAATGGATCCAATTGTCTGGTGATTATGTGGAAAGTGAATAGTGGTAGTTAAAGAGCACATTCTGAGGATTATTTCTTTGTTTGATTTATTAAAATATTCTCATCCAAACCCAAGTAATGAAGGTAAAGGCATTACTTTTCATTCGACCCTCGTATATTTAGCTTCCAGCAGAAGTTGATCACAGAGATGTGCTGGAAAACCTAGAAATTCCTAGAGATGATTTCTCTCAAGGGAAAAAAAGAGCAATTTTTAAAATTTGCATTTTTTCCAATTTCATTGGGGGTCCTGTGCCCCTAACCCCAGCAAATGTGGAGAGCTGACTGTATAGAACAGTGGTACTCAACCTTTGACCTTCCAGTTGTTTTGTACTTCAACTCCCAGAAATCTCAGCCATTTGACCAGCTGTTAGGAATTGTGGGGGCTGAAGTCCAAAACACTTGGAGGGCCAAAGGTTGGGAACCTCTGGTATAGAAGAATAAGGACAGAATCAGGACGAGATGACTAGAGAGCAAGGGATTGTAGAGTGAGCCAAGTGGCATAGTACAACAGAAGGGCAATTTGCACCCAGTCTCCCTCTGCCATTAATTAGTCCATCAGTTCAATCTTTGGCTTTTTACACAAACATGCATTCTTTTCCCATATCAGCACATTTTAAAAATCTAATACACCCCAGACACCCCAAAGTCAATAGTGAAAATGCAGTGGCTTCGAATGTCAATCTGCATTACCCGGAAAGTTAAGAGGTGAGACATTACCATTGAAGCAGCAGGACGACCAGCGTTCCTTCTTTCTTTTCCCCCCTATGAGATGCAGAGCACAGAAAGATGCAGATGAAGTAAGAATCGCTCACACAAAAGCTCTCCTTGCTTCAGTGATTGCTTTGCTATAGGACATGTTTAACAAGAAAAAGGCAAGATATCCCCCCTAAAAAGAAGAGAGGAAAACAAAGAGGAGGTAGAGTAGATGCAGAGGACAGACAGACAGACAGACAAGGAGGGGGAGGAGGGAAAAAAAGAGAAAAGCAATTGTCAAGAGAGCAAAGAAACAGAGCTTTCTTAGCAAGCTTTAAAAACTCTTTGCATACAGTGCTTCCAGGAAAAAATAACATGTGGGTCAAATAGGCTCACTGCCGTTGCTAGTTGTGGCATATTGCATTGGCCAGAGCCATGAAGAGTACACAAGGCATCCTGCTGTAAAAGAAGTTAAACCAAGTTGAGTTATTCATTGACAAATTAGGCCATAATACTGACTTTTGCAACCCAACAAAGAAAGTAACTGCACTGTTACATTCTTCATATGCCTGACCTTCGTATGCTTAAGAGTATCCCAATTTCCATCCTCTCTGCTCCAAATTCATAGAGATATTTTCCATTTGGGATTCCTGAAACTCAAAATACTGAAGTATGTTTGCATGTAGGCAATGGACTTATTTCTAATCAAGCATGTTTTGGATCAGGAATGTATTATTTTGATAAAGACATCACAAGGATAAATTTGAATCCACCCAGGAACTAATTTTTCAGGAGCAATACCCATATGACATGTGCTGTGTTGCTAGATGGTGGTCCTCAACCCTTGTTCCTCCAGGTGTTTGGGACTTCTACTCCCAAAAATTCCAGCCATCTTACCAGCTGTAGGAGTTGTGGGAGCTGAGGTCCAAACACCTGGAAGATCAAAGGTTGGGAACTACTGATCTAGATCAGTGGCTCTCAACCCGTGGATCCCCAGTTGCTTTTGCCTACAACTCCCAGAAATCCCAGCCAGTTTACCAGCTGTAAGGATTTCCGGGAGTTGAAGGCCAAAACATCTGGGAACCCACAGGTTGGGAATCACTGGACTACAGGAAGATATATAAAAGGAGCAAAACAGAAATCTAACTCATCTAATCTAACTAAACGTCTAGATCAGTGTTTCTCAACCAATGGGTCCAAAGATGTTTTGGCTTTCAATTCCCAGAAATCCTAAACTGGCTGGAATTTCTGAGAGTTGTAAGCCAAAACACCTGGGAACCCACAGGTTGAGAACCACTGGTCTAGATTCCTTGTTAAGACATGATGAATAAGTTTTAGGAAAGCCTGCTTAGAGATACAGTCAGCTCTCCAAATTTGCTGGGGTTAGGGGTTCAGAATGCCTATAAAAGTGGAGGAAAAAAACATATTTTTCCCCAGAGGGAACATTTTTGGGGAATCTCTAGGTCCTCCAGATCAACTGTATCGTCAACTTCTACCAGAATCACACTGAAGGATCTACAAATGCCTAGAGTAGTACTATCTTTAGGAATCTCTAATTCAACAATATGGTAGAAGTTGCCCACAGAATCACAATGGAGATCCTAGAGCAGGCATCCTCAAACTGTGGCCTTCCAGATATGTTGGCCTCCAACTCCCAGAATTCCTGAACATTGAACAAGCTGGATAGGGCTGCTGGGAGTTGGAGGCCCAAACAACTGGAGGGTCACAGTTTGAGAAGGCTTGTCCTAGAGATTCCTAGAGAGAATATGAATCAAATCTGCCAAATTTGTCCAACTGAAATTGGCAAATTTGGAGGACTGACTGTATTTTGGATGGCTTCGCAGGATAGAAAAGAGCAACACTACGGGAAGGATGAAGAAACGTATCGCTTATGGTTCCCATACTTCATGGGCCAAAGCAGGCCTTGCAGAATTAAGTCACCATATTGGATGTATCCTACTCATTGTCCACAAACTGAGAAGCTTGAGCAGAACTGCACCTACAGTTCTGCCAATAAATGGGGCAGCAATATCATGCTAAGAAAGTTGAAAAAAGAGCACTCCTGGGATTTCCGAACTTAGCTGTTGTTGGAACTAATAGGCTTACAGAAAATCCAGATATATTTCTATTGCTAAAAAAAACAAAAACACAGATCAGCCACTGAGTCTTGGCTGATTAACCAAAAGGAAATGCAGAATGCTGCAAACAACACTAAATGGGCTATCCTGCACTTGCATGGAGGTTTTCTGCCCATTGATTTAGCTGCCAACTGGCTTTTCCATATGAGCCCTTTGTTATGCTAGTATAAACCCTGCTTCTCTAGCTAAATTACAGGACTGTGATTCTAATATTACTTTTCATACTTCAATTCTAGTCCTATGATTATAGTGATAAATCACACACTGGTACATTCTACTTCATCACACTAGAGAAAAAATCCACTTTAAATCCGTTTTCTTCCTCCTGCAAATTCTGGGGTTTGTAGTTTAGTGAGGCTGTAAAAGGCTTCTCCCCAAACTACAAACCCCAGAATTCTGCAGGAAGCAGAAACCAGATTTAAAGTGTATTTTTTTCTCCAGTGTGATGAAGGAGCATTTGGGATGCCAATCCAGTACTTGTCTAGTATCTGCACTGCTAAATATCCATATTGTGATCTCTAAACTGGGGTGTATGCAAAAGGCATCTTTCACACTGGAGAAAGAAAGAGAACAGAATTATAACAGGGATCAACACATTGACCTTTTTGTGTGGCAAAAATCACAGAGTTACATCAGGAGAAAAGCATAATAATTGTATATTGCTTTTATCTGTTGTTAAACCGCAATGAGTCGCCGTTCCAGGCTGAGATACTGCGGTATATAAGTGTATTAAATAAATAAATAAATAAATAATAATAATAATAATAATAATAATAATAATAATATTTTATTTATACCCCGCCACCATCTCCCCAAGGGGACTCGGGGTAGCTTACATGAGGCCAAGCCCAACAACACATAAGTAAAAACAAAACAGCAAGCAAATAAAACAGTACAATTACTATAATTACCATTTCTAGTATTAGCAATGAATATTATTATGTTTAGTACAGTTGTGTTATGCCAGTCGATGTCACTTACAAAACTGGGAAATATGGATGAGATCTTTATGGTACTTTACTTACAGTAAATTTTGCTTCCTACGATCCACAACACTATAGAAGACATGAACAAATAACTAGGTGCATGATGCCTCTTAGAGCCACCTTGGCTATACATCAGGCATGGGCAAACTTGGGCTTCCCAGGTGTTTTGGACTCCAACTCCCACCATTCCTAACAGCCTCAAGCCCTTTCCTTTTCCCCCTCAGCTGCTTAAGAAAGGGCCTGAGGCTGTTAGGAATGGTGGGAGTTGGAGTCCAAAACACCTGGGAAGCCCAAGTTTGCCCTTGCCTGCTCTACATAGTTGCAGACACAACTAAACTTTCAATAACTTGAAATCATTCATCCTCTACCGGAAATATGGTTGTAATTAACTTTAAAGTTAATCCAGTCATTACATATGGCAACATCCATTACTCACTGCAAGACAACTGCAATCTATGATATTAACAAGCTAAACATCACAGACTGCAGAACTTGAACCAAAGCTTTACAAACTACGTACTACTGTTTTGCACAGCCAAAACCGCTGGTCATAGAAGGCAAGAACAGCTAGGACACGTCAAAAACCATCCCAAATTATTTTGTCATGCACTCTGAAGTCAATTCTCTGGCTTTATGTCTACCTGCCCTTCCACCTCAGCCATTTCCCTAAGCCTAAGGCCCAAGAGGCATAGCCTGCCTATTGTTGGCCCCTTACTACTGACAGGTTGTGCAGTTCTGAACTAAGCTATTTTGAATGGTGCCTTACAAGGTATGTGGTCTGCTATCATTTAAACAGAAAGCCATTGCCCCTCTTCTAAGACAATACTATAACCCAAGTATTTCAATGAATAAAACTATCAATATAATAAAAAACAAGAATTTAAGGAAAAGTAGCCTGGCAACCAAAATCACAGAATAAATACCAGACAAGAATCAATCAGGGCCAGCTAACACCTCAAACAGCCAGGCTTTGATGCTACAAGGCCATTCAATGCTAATCAAGCTGGTCAATAGCAACATTTACACTTGCCTCAAGCAGACAAGGGTTTTTTTTCTCCCACCTGGGACTTTCCACAAATATATAAAACTCACTTGCCTAAGTTTCCAACAGACCTCACAACCTCTGAGGATGCCTATCATAAATATGGGAGAAATGTCAGGAAAGAAGGCTTCTGGAATGTGGCCATACAGCCCAGAAAACTTATAGCAACCCAGAATAAATACCGTAGATATAATACACAGGGAGTCTTGATCAGCCAACAGCATTACTTACTAGTATTCAAACACATCATCATCTTGTTGCAGGAATTAAACCTTCCCTGATGTCTTTACATTGAGTTCTATTGCTCAAACTTAATGCACAGAATTTAGATCTATGGCTCTGGCAAACTTAAATGGGTTGGGGTTTTTTTGGGTTTTTTTGTCGTGTCAGGAGCGACTTGAGAAACTGCAAGTCGCTTCTGGTGTGAGAGAATTGGCCATCTGCAAGGACGTTGTCCAGGGGACGGCCGGATGAATTGATGTTTTTATCATCCTTGTGGGAGGCTTCTCTCATGTCCCCGCATGAGGAGCTGGAGCTGATAGAGGGAGCTCATCCGCCTCTCCCCGTAATCGAACCTGCGACCTGTCAGTCTTCAGTCCTGCCGGCACAGGGGTTTAACCCACTGTGCCACCGGGGGCTCCACTTAAATGGGTGAGCAGCTTCAATCTGCAAGAAATGGGGCTGTTCAATTCAGTTATCTGCATGATTGTTTCTTTCCATCTCCAGAATTTAAAAGAACTACTATTATGACTGATGTCTCAAGACAGATTAGAAGAAAAAAGTGTAGGCTCCCACCCAGTGGTGCACAGACAGACCAGTTATGAAGTAAACTTGACAAAAGGATGAAACACATCCACCCATATGATTTCTTGACCTTTTGGAAGCTCTCACAGTGCCAACCACATCTACAGGGAGGACACCACATTGGGAAAAGCCCTGGAAATTTCTGCCCATGGATATCTTGCCATGTCAGTTCATTCCTGATGTTGGCTTATGGTTTGAGGTTACAATATTTTTTTATTGTACTTGTTCACTTTTTAAAAGATCGTTAACTACTTTCAGAAATGTTCTGGGCCAAAAGAGCGAAAGGAACATTTTCGAAAGAGTGCTTTTGTTTCAGTTTAGCTTTTTCAATAAGTAGGATGATGGGTGATTGTTAGTTCATGTCAATGGGAATGGATTGTGTGGCGGGATTTTGTAGGCATTTTGTTTTGGAATTTGTATTTTTAATAAATAAATAAATAAATAAATAAATAAATAAATAAATAAAAGGTATACATAAAATTTATTGGGTTGCTGTGAGTTTTCTGGGCTGCATGGCCATGCTCCAGAAGCATTCTCTCCTGACGTTTTGCCCACATCTATGGCAGACATCCTCAGAGGTTGAGAGGTCTGATACACACACACACATCTCACTTTCCCAGTTTCCAACAGACCTCACAACCTCTGAGATTGCTTGCCATAGATGTGGGTGAAACCTCAGGAGAGAATGCTTCCGAGATATGGCCATACAGCCTGGAAAACTCACAGCAACCCAGTGATTCCGACTATGAAAACCTTCAATAATAAAATTTATTTATTATTTTTATTTATACCTCACTTTTCTTTGCCAAAGGAGACTCGAAGCCATTTACAATATGTGCATTTTATGGATTTTAACTGTTAATTTTAAAATAATACATTGATGTTTAATTCTAATTCAAGGTTTGTATATTTTTGCATTTTAAATTGTATTGAAATGCTTTAAATGTAAGCCACTTTGAGTCTCCTTTGAGGAGAGAAAAAGCAAAGTATAAATGAACATAATAAATAATAATAATAATAACATAACCCATACAAACATTAAAGCAGGATTAAATATTGGCAGTATTAATAATAAACTGTTTAAAGCAATTTAAAATACATTAAAATACCATAAAAAGAAATTGTTACTGGCTTTATTAAAACACCATGTTGAGCAAGGGTCTCTGACAACAACAACAAAAAAAACAACCCCTCCGCATTTCACCTCCATTCATTACAATGCTGCGTTATGTATTTACTCAAATACATACGCAGCTAGAGAATAAGAAAAAGTCTCTTACCTGGTTAATTACATATATACCATAATCAAGCTGTTGCCTTTGAAGAATGGGGTGGAGGTAATACAGCCAGTATTTCAAGTGTTCATCCCGATTTCTGAAGGGAATAATAATTGCCACTTTCTGAAGTGCTTTACAGTCCTTTGGGGTGTAGTGGCCTCCATCCCTGACTTCTGAGTTGTCCTTCTGCACATTCCTCAAATTCACAGGTTGCGAAAACTCCACACGCAATGGGCCAACTGAGAAGAAAAAGACCACAGGACAAGACATTATTAAAGACCTTTGATGAGATGGCAAATCCAACCCAGATTTCATTCCAGACTTCAAAGGAAGTATTCAAGACGCTGAACTGTATCCCCCAAAATGGGTTCAGCATATTCGATAGCAACCTTACAGTTTGCACTAAAAATCAGATCAGAATTATTATTCCATTGGCATAGAAACTAACAGACACCACTCAGGAACCCTGAAATGAATACATGAGATCCAGACTATTAAAAGGCACTAGAGAAGAGGTAGGAAGCAAAGGAAAAATAAATCCCAACATGGTTATGAAGCACAGAAGCAACATAAATGAATAACCACTACAGTAAGCACAAATTAAAACTGTAAGTCATCGATTCTATCTGATATGTGTGCATAGATTGGTGACTTCTCGCCACTCCTTTCTATGATGAGCTCTCTCCCAAAACTACCACTACAATAGATTTATAGGAACCAACCAATTTACCAAGAGGGGATGAAGAAAGAACTTACAATAAAGAGCAAAAGGAAAAGGAAAACAACTGGGGAGAAGAAATAGACACAGACTAGCAAATAACATACTTTTTTTTTTTTTGTCAGGAGCAACTTGAGAAATGGCAAGTTGCTTCAGGTGTGAGAGAATTGGCCAACTGCAAGGATGTTGCCCAGAGGATGCCCGGGTGTTTTACCATCCTGTGGGATGCTTCTCTCATGTCCCTGCATGGAAGCTGGAGCTGACAGAAGGGAGCTCACCCCACTCCCCGGATTCTAACCGCAGACTGCAGGGGTTTAACCCATTGTGCCACTGGGGTCTCCAAATTGTTACCGTAAGTTGTAGCAGGACAAAGTGTGTGGAGTGTTGAAGAAAAACCTTATGATGGTAATTATTATGTGCAGCTGGTAATGTAGGTCAACCAGCAATCTTGGACCCTAACCCTACCCCCCCCCCCCCAATAGGATATAACTGTATGGGTTTGTAGAATACAGTTCTGGAGAGCTTTTTCTCTGAGGAGATCTGTGCTCAAAAACTCTGGTCTGAGGAGCAGGTTGGAGAGAAGCAGTTATGCTGTTCTAAAGGAGGCTATGGTGAAATAGCTGTATGCTCAAGGTTTATGTTTTGCTTTCTCATTTGACTTAAGATGAAGATACCTTATTTTGTGTTACTTACAAAGACTATGTAAGTTTCTTGCACTGTTTGTTTTTTGTATACAACATTGTAAGTTTGTGTTTCATCTCTGCTATTAAGAGTAAAAACATTTTATATTCATTTCTACTCTTGTCTGTGTGTCTTGTGCATGGGACGTGGCTAAGATCCACTTGCTGTGCAACACAAATAACATACTATCTTCAAAGGAGAAGAGATGCATTACAATCAGATCCAGAATGCAACTAACTCAACCAACATGAACTGTTTTATGTTCCTTCTCAATACTTTTCTTGCCTTTGCTGGCCCTGTTTTGGGGTTTTTGACAAGCTGCTGTGGCAGTATTCTTTCATTCAAGCAGGGCATAAACATTATTCATATAAATACATGAAAGTTTTCCAAATTAGAATATGAATCATTTTTCTCCCTCATTCTTTTTAGGGAACAGTGTGTCACAAATTATTAACACACATAATTATGGCTGCTGTCATGAGAAGGGATGACTCACTACAAAAGACTATAGTCTTGATATAGTGAAGAGCAATAGGAATAAGGGATGACCCCGTTATTGATGGATAAGACTCAATCTAGGAAGCCATGGCCAGCAGTCCATAAGACCTGAACACTGATGAGAGGATGATTTGGAGGTCTCTCATTCATAAGGTCAACATAACTCAAAGTAATCTTGAAGGCCGTTAACAACAACAAAAATAAAGCAACACCATTTATTATCATATTTGGAAAGGAAGTTCTCATATTCAAAGTGAAAGAGTTGTATTCAGTCCCGGACATGGTCTGAGACACATTAGGGTCAATCATGCCAATGCTAAACAGATCTAGGTATAGTCAGTGCCTTGAAAAGGAAATGTCTGGAAGCTCTTATATAATATCTTTTATTCTGTCACTGAAAGAAAGACACAGCATTTTATCTATCTCACCCATGGCTTTTACAATTTTTACCCTTCGCATTTCGCCCAGCTTGCCCTTGTTTAATTCTTTTAGCATGTTATACTTTGTTTTTATTATGTTATTGTCATTATTTTATTTCATTACTATGTCAGGAAAAAGGAGGAGGGGCCGACCAAGGGCAAGATGGATGGATGGCATCCTTGAAGTGACTGGCTTACTCTGAAGGAGCTGGGGGAGGTGACAGCTGACAGGGAGCTCTGGCGTGAGTTGATCCATGAGGTCACGAAGAGTCGGAACGACTGAACAACAACAACAACGTCATTGTTAAATATTTTCATTTGATGTTGTTGTCTGTTTTGTATGTACTTTATTTTGCTTAATTGTAATTATTTGGGCTTGGCCTCATGTTAGCCGCCCTGAGTCCCTTTGGGGAGATGGTGGCGGGGTATAAATAAAGTATTATTAGTATTATGCTATTAAGAGGATATGGATGTAATACTGACAGCAATATATGTCAGTTTGCATGAACTTTACAAGCCACACAAACTTCAATACAGGAGACAATATACAGACAACTGAGGTACATAGTAGAACATGAAGTCATAATCGTACCAGGTTCACAACTGATACTTCTTATTTTTTGTCTTGTTTTCTTTTCCAACTTTAGTTACTAACCACATGCAAAACAAAACCTCTTTGGGGTTTAGCTCACCCACTGAAACCGTGCACCTTCTAAATCAGAATTCTGAAGCAAAACGGTGCATTTACTATAGCTGGCAATGTACTGGTACTTGCCTGGTTTCACATTCTCATATGTATGCATGCACACATACACACACATCAACACCATTAGCAGCACTGTCTACCTGCAACATAACACATGCAACAAGAGGCACCAAAAACCAGTATTTATTCCTTCTAAGAAAACTTTGACATGGTGGTGGTGGTGGTAGATTTGGATCCAAACATTGCTTTGTCTAAATGAGGAACAGGGAGATGTGACATGTCCAGCAACCAGCGGTTTATACTTTTATTACTTCTAGGCTGGGGGACTGGACTGAACTGAAGTGCACTCAAAAGTGGAAATGAGCCAGGTTTGAACATATTGGCACATGCCTTCATCACATCCAGGCTTAAGTAGGAGTCTCTCATGCAGCATGAGAAAGCTCATTAAGCCCACTTGAGCTTCACACACACAAGCCTGCACAGAGAAAATTGGCTGCCTTCTTCTTGGCATGATGCATCACTCCAGTCTTGCTTGCTTCCTGTCAATCAGGAAGAACAGGTACTGATCCCTCTGCATCAGTGCTCTGTGCATATGACTTGATCCTTTAGGCAATTTGATGCAGACGTATTGCAGAATCTCCCACCTCCTGAGGACATTGGAAGTTGCAATCCATGGTTTGAATAGGCAACTCTTCCATCAAGAAGCACATGTATAACAGTGATACCTCAAGACCTTTCCGGATTGCTTCACCTCCCATTTCATCCCACAAACCCACAACCACAAAACCACATCGCCCACAAACATCTCTCTGTTGTCAGGTATTTGGAAAACTCTGGGCCAAGTTACAGTCTCTTCTGTATTGACTTATTGTCAGTGCAGAAGACAATAAGTCCATGCAGTGTCATGAAGAATAAATTCCTTTGAAATAAATACCTAGAATCACAGAATCTGAAAAGCTGGAAGGGACCATAGTATATACTGTTTGTGTTTATGTAGAAGTCTAGGAATTTTAGTCAAAACATCAGGCTCTACAAAACCCTGGTTAGACTTATCCATAAGTCAATAAAATACTGTATCTTAACTCTTGTCAGAAATGGAACTACCTCTGAGCAGAGAAGTGAAAGGCAAGAGATTAGTCAGCCCTGGGAGAACCTTGGTCAGGGCCCCCGAAACTACGGCCCATGGGCTGGATGCGGCCCTCCAAGGTCATTTAACCAAACTCCCGCCCTAAACTTTAGACTTCACAACAACAGCAATCCTAATTAACTTGATTATCTCATCAACCTTTCTCCTTCTGATGAATGATCCTCAATTTATCGATGGGTCATATCAAAGTCCACAGTATCGGCTACAAAACCTGCCCTTGCCTTACACATAAGGTCAAGTTATACATGAGTCTATCTGCTAAGCATACTGCGAGAGTACAAGAACAACCAGAACTCTTCAAGGGAGGAGGAAAACAAATACTATTAGTCTGTGATACAATAAATACTCACTCACACACACCCTTTTCACACTGAAGGGGACTCAAGGCGAATCACAGAACACATACACAGCAAACATTAAATGCTATTAGACAGGACAGACAACAGATAGAGCCATTTTTTTCTTAAGTGGTGCCTAATTTCTCTACTCACAGCTGTTTTCCAACTGCTTAGGTAGACACTAAGTTGGGTTGAAGGTCGGGTGCTCACCCTGAGCCGGGCTTTGAACTGGCAACCTTTTGAATGGTACAATCTGCTGCTGGTGATTAACCAGCTGTGCTAAAGCCCGGCTCATACAGTACATCAATTGCATCAAATACTCATATATCTTCAAGCTGCTTTTAACTAAAGTTGGATAAAAATGATCACAGGGGTTCTTTCTGGGAAGAACTTGGGGTAACATCAGAGAGACTGGTCAACTACGTCCAGTCATTATCTTATATCTCACACTTCAAAAACTGTAACAAAACCACTATAGTTAAAAAAATGGACAGATACTCCCATGCCACAGCTGCGTTGCACATTTCCTTCCTTCTGATGTGATACACAAAACATCTCTTTAACTATCTTAAAAGTGCCATATATGGAAAATTCCACAAGCATCCATGGGATTTGTAAATTAGCATGCATTATGTTAGCTATATGATTCTCCCTGCAAAAAGGTTAGCGTATATGAAGGGCCCAGCCCAATCTGGATGTAAAGCTAAGAATGAGTGGATTACATGAACATAG